AAACAGCACTCATGGATTACTCTTACAGTCTGCTTCCAACCTGATCTCCAACTGCTGGCTTTGCATACAATCTACACTTCCCTTGATATATACTACCCCAATAACTAAGTCTCTAAGTGGTGGCTCCCAGAAACCCCTGATTGTAGATGCTGTTTGTGAAGGCCCCTTGCTCGGGTGACCCTCTCCTCCTCACCCCACCACTGTATCTCCCAACAAGGAGATACAGAAATTAGCAGTTTTAGCTGTAATCAAACTCACAGAGTTTAATTCAGGCCCAATGACAATCACAACCTATATTGCTCTACTGAGATAGGAGTGTATTTGGTCTGTGACACTTATGCTTATCGATGCCTGTTGGCTAACTGGACAGGGTCATGCATTTGGGCCATCCTGACCCCCCAGATTGACAAAGTATCTGGAAATGAGACTCTAAATTTTCCTCTAGTGGCCCAAGCCCGAATAGAATGGTTTATCCCGTTCATTCCCCTCCTCATTGGACTTGGAATTTCTGCAGGAATAGGCACTGGGGTTGAGGAAATAATGACCTCCTCCTACTAGTTCTCTCAGATCAGCAAGGAAATGGCAGAGGGATTTCAGAAAGTAGCTGAGACTACAGAAACTCTCCAAGACCTGCTCAACTCCTTAGGAGAAGTTGTCTTACAGGACAAATGAGGACTGGATCTCTTAACTGCAGAAAAGTATAGGCTCTGCTTATTTCTGGGGAAGAAATGTTGTTTCTACACTAACAAATTGGGTGTAGTCAGAGACATGGCCCAGCAGCTTAGAGATTTAGTCTCCAAAAAGCAACAAGCAACAGCTGACTCCAGGGCAGGCTGGAATGGGATCTAGGGATAGGCCCATGGATATTCTCTCTCCTGGGGCCCCTAACAACTATTCTTTCATCCCTGGCTGTCAAACCACTTGTCCTTAATCTGAGTACACAGTTTATAACCTCCTGCCTTGAAGCCATCAAGTATTGACTGCTTGTCATGACCCCAGAAGACTACATTTACTTCCCCTCTGTTGATTGATCCTCCTTTAATGTGATTAAGGAGGCCCAAGAAAGGGGAATGATATGGAGAGGCCCAGAACTCATGAATAACCCAAGGTCAGTAATTGCTGAAACTTCCCATTCCTCTGAGAACTCACTGTCCCTCTGGTGAGCAATAAAAGTAAACTGAGACCTTGAGAAGTTAGACTCCCTGTTTCTCTGCCACATTCCTTTTTAGGGCAAATCCTGAACTCCTTTTTTTGATAGGAAATCCCTAGCATGCTGAGACTTCCCCTTCCCCAACTCCCCCATAAAAAAATATGCCCAACTCTCCACAGGGCCAGGGATTCAGAGTGTTAACTTCTCCATGCCCGCTGGTGTAATAAAGAGTTCTACTGGGAACCAGCAGTTAGCATAATGGCTATGTCGCTGGACTCCACGTAGTCGACCGCGGTTCGTGTCCCGGACCCGGTGGCTTAAAACTCACGCCGGGCGCGTGTGCGTGCGTGCCCAAGATCCCGAGAGGAGAATGGAGGAGAAGGGATTGCGGCGTGACCATCCCCCCTGGGGGGTGATTTCTCGCTTTCTGTCTCTATGTCTCTCTCTGTCTGTCTGGCGAGCGCACGCGCCCTACAGTGAAAAATCTCTCCAAAAAAAAAAAAAAGAAGAGTTCTACTTTCTCTCCTGAGTGCTGTTTTTGTTCTTTGGCATCTGTTTTTCTACAACAGTGGCAAGTAGGGTATATTTTAGGTTTTGAGGCCATAGGCTTCAGATATTCAACTCTGCTATTACAACATAAAAGCAGGCACACATAAGATGTTAAAAACAGTGACTTGAGTATATTTTATTTAAGTTTTATTTACAAAAACATGTGGCATCTTGTTTTTCCTATAAAAGTAGAAAATATTTATATAGGTGTATGTGTGTGTGTGTGTGTGATGTATGTGTGTGTGTGTGTGTGTGTGAGTGTGTGTGTGTATAATATAGAAGTTTTAACCAGATGAAATGTCTGTCATTCTATGTCAAGTATATCTGATCACTGGCAATATCATGTGATTCTGCCTAATGATTCTAGGCAGTATGCTTTCTAACTACTCTTTCTTACAAAGAACTCATCTTTTCTAACTTTTTAAAATAATGATATAATTTGCAATGTTTCTTGTTTTCACCCATGACTACTGAAGGTGAAAAGCTGTGCTTTTTATGTCTTCCAGAGAGAAAGCCGCAGAATTAGGCAACAATATAAGATCATAGACCTTGGGCTAACCATGCAGATGTCAAGGTAGGAATAGACCTGGTACTTCAGAACACTGGAAGCCCTTATAAATGTGTTATGCTGTAAAGACAGGCAGAAAATATGTTCCTACAATTAATAAGAATTCATGGTGGTTTGAGGAGCATATAATTTAAAATACTGGAGAAATAGCTATATGATATATAGAATATCTTTAAAAAATTGATTAAGTACTTCAAGACATCAACTGCAGGTGCTAAATCAAGTGCAGGGCTTTCTGAATATAAAGTTCTCATTGACTACATAGGTTGCAGGACCATGGAGCCAGACCTATGAAACCAGTCACTTCCAGATTTTGTCCTTCTCAGTGTGCCCTTCAAGACTACAAATGAAGAGATCTTCAAAGACTGAAAGGAAGGTTCTACTTCAGGATCACTACATAGAACAATGGCAGATAATAAGGGGATTAGAAGAAGAAAGTTCCAACAGGTAATCTTGCCTTTATCATTTTTTTTCTTTAATTTTGTCAAAAGCAAGATACACTTGATAGAGAATAAGAGAGAGAAAAAGAGGGAGAAAAGCAACCTTCAATGGGGTTGTGGTCACATGGCAATCCCTGCTCTTCCATTCCATGACCCTATAGGGTCTTGGGGCATGCACGAACACATGCCCAGTGTGTTTTCCAAGCAGCTGGGTCTGGAAGTCAAACTGCACAGTCCACAATGTGGGATGCAGTTCCTTTAATCACCAGGTCATAGGTCCAGCCAACTTTTGCTCATTCCTAACTGAATGACTTTGGGGAAAAAATTTAAGTTCTCTGAAGAAGCTTTCTTTTTTTTTATTTCAACTAAGTGGCAAGAAATAAAATTGCTTACTTTAAAAACTGTTAGAAATCTCAAGGAAAATAAAATAGATTAGCAAAACACTCCAAGGATTATTTTAATATAAATATAAAGTCCTCAAGATTTAAAGCATACTTAAGAATGAAATAAAGGGAATGCAATTGATTCATATATTAAATTAGTGACAATGTTAAGTTTCCATGTTTGGGTGAAGGAAGGAAGCAAGGAACGAAAGAATTAAGCTGTACATTGAAAGGCTGAAAGCCCATAGCAAAATAAGGTAACAGAAAATTTTATGGCATTGAAAATGGCCAATAAACTTAATAGTAAGTATTTAATTGTGCATTTTAGTCTGCTACTATATTCTGCAGTAACTCTTCTTCCCCTCATTTACCAAATGAGGGCACACTGATACTGAAGGGGATTAACCCTAAAGAATATACAGAGATGTTGATAAGAATACAAGATGAGCAAGGATAGAATGGGAAAATATATTGAAAGTGTTAAGTGAAAAGCAATTTCAACCAAGAATACTATACCCAGCAAGATTATCCTTTATATGGGAAGAAAAGTCAAGAATATTCTCAAATAAACAAAACCTGAAAGAATTTACTGACACCAGACCAGCTCTCCAAGAAGTTCTGAAAGGAGTGCTATACCAGGAAAACTAAATACAAACATACAGAAATAAAAGTTCAGAAACAACTTAGAAAATGGTAGGAGGCAAGTACAGAGCTGAATGTTATCTTCTGGAATTTAAATGGAAAGATTGGACTACAGCAGAAGAAAGATTAAGTACATCAGACTGAACTGGTGAAATAGAATTTTGTGATTTTTGACTAAAACATTACTGAATTTCTTCTATGCTTTGTTTTCCAGATTTAAGAATTTTTGTCTTACCTAGTATAGCATGCACCTACTATTTGAATAGAATCCTAACTTGTTTCCTGGATTTAAGTCTTAAGTAAAGTTATCTTAACACTTTTTATTTTGATTTACTAAAGCTAAAATTTCCTTTCTTGAAATTAAAAAATATATATTAAAAATATTTATTTAATGACAACAGGAAGCTATATAGCCTCGGCTAGCTGCTACTTTATATTATAATCTTTCTACTAACAGAGTTTTACACCTAAAGTCAGACATGTGTTCACTGATATGTATATATCAGCTGAACTTGCTATTGAAAATTGAAAGTAGTTAGATCAATTAAGATATTTTATTAATCAATAAAATGTGGGGGGAAAAGGAATGGAAAGCAACTGTATCAGAGACAGTGCAGGAGGAGAGTGAGAAATGATGGACAGAGGGTGAGAAATGGGGATGAGAAATGGGGATGAGAAATAGAAAATTATTTTAGACTATAACATGTATGATTAAGCCACTATACAGTGTATTCTGGATGGGAAATTGCATTTTGTATGCTGTGATGATGTTCAGTGGATGTAAAATGAATAAATTTAAAATAAAAAATTTTAAGAAAAGAGAATAGAGTTATTCACACATGTGAAATAATTTTCAAGACATTTTTACTTTATTTTAGAGAAC